AGGATATAAAAAAAGAACAGACAATTTATTACACTATGATAAGAATAATTTCTTGTTGATATCATCATGACTTTATCAGAGTCAGTACTCTTTGCTATGGTTCTTGATACAACAAATAAATTGATATGAAACAAGTTTATCTTATTTTATGCTTGATTTAAATAATTAATTTTATTAGAAAAATACTATTTATAACTACATATTAGCCAAAACAAAAAGATTCGTATTTAACAATTAAGTAGAAATTTCTTTCGTTGAGTTTTTATAATTTAAATTAATAACAGAATTAGTAAAAGCTTGATCAGCAAAATCACAGATAACAACATTAACACCATTGACAAGTGATGGATCACGTTGACGATCTGATATCCATTTAATTAATGTTGCATTTGTCTGTTTTGCATTTGCATAAAGTGAACTAAATGGATTTCTTTGTATAGATGAACCATCCGGTGTAGTTTGTCCTTGCGTAACATTAATGCAAGTTGTAGGTCGAGGTTGGGATACTTTTTCATTGAGAAATAAAAATAAAGTTTCAACTCTAGGTGTATTTGGCCATGGCGATTCACAAACCTATATCCAATAAATAAAAATATCTTCATAAAACTTTATTTTTTTTATTTTACTTTAAAAAAATGTCCTATTTTATCCATATAAGGTGAACATTTATCAGCATCTTCATCATAGAGTAAAATAACTTGTTGTTTATGATTCCATAAATAATTTAATGTACATTCATTTATTGTTCGTGCTGTTGTACAGAGTTTTGTACCAAATACTTCATGTATAAGATCAATTAATTTCTTATGACCATGATCTTCAATAAAATCATAAAAATGATTGAAATCAAGTAAAATTATTTCTTGAGAATATTTGTTCAAAAATTCATTCATTTCTTCTAAACACTCTCGAACTAATCTACCTAATAAACCATGTGTAAATGTAAATGGTGATTTTTTACATAAATTTTCATCTGTTGTACGACAAACACGTAAATCAAAATAACGAATACCTATTTGTAATTGTTCTATAAAAGAATAAAATTATTTTCTAAGTCGATAAAAAAAAATGTTAATACCAGTAAAATTTTTATTTTGTGTAATACTCCAATTTCTAATAATAGGACGAAGAATCCAATGAAAACGTCTTAAATTTGGAATTAAATCAGGTCCTGGTTGAGATGTTAAATGAAATGCAAATGAGTCATGTGTACCTATGATATAAACATGAATTTAATTTTATCGATATATATATATGTATCTACCGGGTATAGCAAGTTTTGTGATAGGTTCATTATGAAGATTTGTTGGTAGATTTTTCATCCATTCGATATGCTTCAATTCTGTTACTAATTCAGAATTTGGCGTACAACAACTACTCGCCATAATACGAGATTTATTTATCTGAATAGAAGGATGATTGATTATTTTTTTTAAAATCATTAAATAACGATTAAATTAGATTTTATTTTTCACAAAAACAAAAATAAATATTAATAAAATATACTTAGTTTATTTTCGGTGCACTACGATCATTTGTTTTAGTTTTTTTTAATTTCGAAAATGTAAAATCTGCAATCGAACTTAATAATTCATTTCGATCATCATTGACAGTTACCAATGGTGATGATGGCGGTGGCGGAGGTAGTAATGGTGTTGCTGGTTGAGAAACAACCCTAGACGTATCAGCAGTATCATTCGATAATGTAGATTTCACTGTTGGTAATGGATCAATAGTAATTGATTGTTGAAGATTTTCTATAGATAAAAAAAAAGAGTTTAATCAAAGCGAAAAACAAGAAGCGATAATGTTATTTTTTATTTTTTTTTACCAATGTGTATGCAGCAGTTAAAAGCTGATTGATAAATACAATCATTCTTACCCGATATTCTATAATGTTATCTCAAAAAATTAAAAAGGAGATATTATTCGATTTTTTAATCAATATATTTCTATTTCACGTAATTCAATTTCATAATCAATAACTTACTTGATATATTTAGAGAATTTAAACTATTTTCCATCTGTTTTTTTGCCTATAATAAAAACGTATGGATAGATCTATGAAATAATAGATATTAACTTGTCTTTCGCGACGACGTTTCAGTTTTTCTTCATCTGACATAAGATGATTAGCAATTTTTGAATGACGTTGAGCATTTTTAATCTAATTAAATATTTCATATAGTCGAATAGAAAAAAAATTCAATCAAATACTTTAATTCGATCATCTTCTAATCGTTCTTGAGCTTTTTGATTAATTAATTCGAATATTTCTTTTACTTTAGGATTTAATCTCATCTGAAAACGTTCCAAACCATTTGAAATTGTTGCTTGAAAGAAACTAAAATAAAAATAGCTCAAATCTAGGAAAATATGAATATAAAAATTTTATACGGTTCATTTAAAAGTTGTCCTATCGTTGGTAAATCTCCTGATGAAATAAAGATTTTTGAAAGTATCTGTTGAACAGGTACTGGAACTACATGGGGAAATTCTGTACATAAACTTGATGGACATTCTTCACCGGTTGATAATTCATATAATAAACGTCCAAACGAATAAATATCACATTGTTCAAAGGTCTGAAAAAAACACAATTGAAATATTCAAATTTTTTATGTTTTTTTGATCTACGAACATGAATATGTTTAAGATTAGATAAATAATATCGATATTTTGATGATACACCTGTAATAACATTAGTTAAATCGAGAAATTTTATTGTTTGAGATTCTTCAAAATCAATTAAAATATTTCCTGAATGTAAATGACCATAAACAAGATTGTTTTCATAAAGAAAATAAAGTCCTTCTAAAATTTGACGACCTATTGTTTTTATTTGATTTAAATCACATCGTCGTTTTGCTGATATTGGACCATATCGTTTCCAATAAATACCATTAGCTGGTTTCGTCTAGAATTTTAATGAAATAAAATAATAAGAAAATTCTCGAAAATATCTTACGCGATGAATGTAATCTTTCAATGAGCCTCTATTATAAAATCGACAAACTGTTAATGTGCCACTTTCATTTGCATAAAAATCTTCAATTGGAATAATCAATGGATGCTATATTAAATATAATTCAAGAAATTTCTTTACATAAAAGAGAAAAATCTGTACTGTAATTGATTTAATTAATCGTAAACAATTTGAAATATCTTTTTCTACAAGTGCTTTATCTAAACCATAGTGACACTATAAATAAAAACTTATTTATTTTGTACGATAGAGAGAGATAGATTACCCATATTACTAAATAACGTTCATCTTTTGGACTTCCGATTTTTGATGCAAGAAAATAATTTTTATCATAACGCCATCCTTCAAAGAAATAATCCAATAAGAAATAGATAAAAAAGAATATCCTACCAAAATGGAATAGAGGTTCGATTATTTGATATGTATTATTCATTGAACGGATAAACATCGACACATGTTGTAATGCTGATTCTGAATTTAATCATTTTTAATACGAAATAAAATATTTTATTTTATTTAAATAAGTAAATTACCAGGATAATTAGTTCTATGATTATGTGGATCAAGAAAACGATGGACAATTAATGAATTACAAAGTTCTACATGTTCAACAAGTTTATTAAGATATGCCTATAGTTTATTATTTTCTATAGAAAAGAAAGTGTTAATATTAGAACATACTTGAAGACCTTTTTGTCTTTCAGACATAAATATTTGATCAGTATTACCAAGAAATTTTTTCTTTGGTAATTCAAAATCAAACCCACAATCTTTTAATATATTATTCAGATCAACAAATTCTCGATAACGTTTTGTTATAATCCATGATGTTAATGGATCATTTGACATACGTGTGACTCGAATAGAATATTCCTATAATTTCATTTTCAAACGAATATGTATTTACTATTTAAGAGAAATATATTTCATGAATTATTACCCCATGTCCATCGACAACATATGAACTTTCAATAGTACATGTCATTGGTAGTGTAGCATCGATAGATGATTGTACATTACTGAGTCTTTGGGGTACTATTAATCGAGCCATTTATATTATGATTTTACATCATTACAGATCTAAAACTTAAACAGGAATGTGCTATTTTAATCGAAGAAATAGAGTAAAGATAAAACTACACATTCAAAACATTTTACTATTCGATTCAAAAATGTTATATTAATCAGTGGTGGGAATATATATAAAAATAAAACCCGCTTAATTATTTTTATATTATTATTTTTTTATTTATTCTTCGTATGGGTCCAATAGAAAATAATCAAGAAGTTTATCGTAGTAATCATACAATGAATGATATGCCTATCAAAAATGAAGAAGAGGATCTCGAGCAGGATGATTGTTTTGTTAAATTTGGTTTAACTTCATCCTCGGAAGAGAAAAATGAACGAATTAATAAGAAAAATCAAAAAGAAAAGACACAAATAGAAACAAATGAAGATCAACCAGCACATTTAGCTGATGAGATCGATGCAATAACAGCACTTATTATCTATAATACTTATTCTAAAAAACATGAATTTACATTTAGTGCACAACATCGAGTGAGTTAAATCTCGGAAAGAAATAAAAAGCCTTTTTACCAATATCACTTATAAATATGTAGGCTAAAATCGCTACTCCTTCGAAAATTATTCGCGATGATATAGATCGATTTGATGCTATATATTCATGTTTAATCGATCAATCGGCATCAACACGAAATAATTCTGTGAAAAAAACTAATCTTCTTAGTAATCATTTATGTAGACGATTTTTTAGTCTATCGGAGGATATACCTACATTAAAAAAATTTCAACAAAACGAACAAATACGTATCTATGAAGAGAAAAAAGCAAATTTTAATCGTGTACCATTTATTCCAAATATTTTATCATATCAACGAACTTGTCCTCAATATAATCTTGATGATATGAAATGGATACGAGATCATCTTTGTTAAGGAAGAAAAAAAAGCGAGTCTATTTCTTATTGTTGTCTAAGTAACCAGAAAGAAAAAGAATAAAATCTTAATTTCTTAATCCTTAATGATATTTTTCAATTCTTCTTTATTCTCTTCTTAAACATCGAGTTTGTAATGATCGAACGATTAAATATAAGAAAACAACAAGATAATGATAGAAAAAAGAATGAATTATTTTCTATTTTAAATAATCTATCAAATTCATCTACTAAACAACAAAAATCGTCATTAAAACGTCTTTCAACAAATTCAAAATTAAATAAAAAAAATCGTTTAATACAATTATTTTTTCCTACTCGTTCGCGCATTAAACTTCATCAATCTCAATTACCAACTAATAAACAAACAATTTCTCCGCTAAACGAACAAGTTGCAAAATTAAATCAACGTGCTGTTGATGTTAGAACTGGTATTGAACATAGTATTTCATCATTACATACTCAACGTTTACAACATTTAACTACCTTAAATGAAAAAACACGAGATCTTGAAAGAGCTGCTATTGCTTTTGAACATTCATCATCAAAACATCTTAAACAAGAACTTGATAAAACAAAAAAATTATCATATCTATTTAAAATAGCTATTACTCTATGTTGCAGTTTATTTTCATTTATGATTGGTTATATGATTATTCAAATAATGCGAGATAAAGGAATCGTATAATTTGTTAATAGAGATATTTTTCAGTCAGATAAAAAATAATTTCAAAAAAAATCCTAATTATAGATACAAAGATTAAGTTAGTTCATATAGAAGAAAAGTGAAACTTATTAGAATTTATATTTCTATTCAAAACAAAGACAATCATCTTCTAATTAAGTACAAAATAAAGCACTTAATCTTCTCTCTAAATTGACTATATCAATAATAAAATACAAATCATTTCTTGAAATATGTATATTTAAGGATAAATATAGTAAGACAAATTCGCTTGTACACACACACACATAATTGAACAGAGAAAATTTACATCACACAAACAATACATACATAGACAAGAAAGATGCACGTTTGGTTTTCTTTTAAAGATGGTTAACCCACACATAATTAATTCTTTTTTTGTGTTGTGGAAGACTCGTCGTACATCATCTCTTCATTTTCTAACTTTGTTTTTCATGGGAATGTTCAATGAACGAGACATAAAAAAAATGTTTGTAAATAAAATGAGAATAGGAACAAAAGAACAAATAAACTCAACGACGAGGTTCTTCTTCGACTTTTCTGTTTCTACTGTTTTTTTTCGCCCTTACATACACACACTCTCACAAGAATATTTTACATTGTAAAAAAAGGGGGAAAAAATATCTCCTCATTCAATTGATTCATACTGGAAAAAAAGAGAAGTAAGAACACAAACTAGGTATATGAAATGAGATTTTCCTTATCAGAATGTCTTATATATATATATATATATATATATATATATATATATGTATATGATTGTATGTGTTTAATGATGTTCTTGAAATATTAACCAATACCAGTATAATGATTATAATCATCATTATTTGAATTATTAGGTGTTTTATCAAATTTTTTTACTTCTTCTTGCATTGATTCTTTTAATTTTAATATAGCATTCGTGTCATTTGCCTGATCTTCACCATAATTAAAGGGAGCTCCATCAGATGGTGGAGGTTGTACTTGCTGTTGCTGCTGTTGTTGTTGTTGCTGTTGTTGCTGTTGTTGCTGACTAGGTGATTGCTTCATTTGTTGATCATAATCACCTAACAAAACAATTTATTTTTATTAGGTGAAAGATTTATTAAAATGAATACCATTGATTGAACCATGATGAGGCATGTCAGGTGGTATTGATGACATATGAGACAGATGTGGATCATGATACTTAACGGTCATAAAAACAATGAAAGATATTTCAATGAAAAGAAAAAGCATTTTTATGTACCATTGGATTAGGTCCTGGTGGCATTCCACCAGACATATTTCTCATACCATAGGGTGGCATTTCCCCACCATTTGAATCTTGAGGACTTGGCATCATTGGTGTTGTTGGTGCATGGCCAGTCGGACAAGAAGTCTAAAATTTAATTATAATATTTTGAATATCAAAACTATTTGACACAATTTTTATTCAATCTGCAATGAACTACTGAGCAGAGAAGAAATAGAGATGATATTTTTGAATACTTACACCATAAGGAACTGGTGACGAGGAAGAATAACCTCCAACCTATAAATATAAAACAAAATGAGAAAAAAAAGAATAATTTTTTAATAGATCTTACTCCTGGTGAATTGGTCATATACATTCGTGGTGCAGGTTGATTCATTGATGGTGACATTGCTGGTGGCATACCTTGTGGCATACCTTGTGGTCGATATACATTTGGAGGTGGTGGAGGTCCACCTGGTCCTCCTGCATGACCAATTGCATTAGGTGGTAATCGAGTACCTGGTGATGTCATTCGTATACCTCGATTTCAAAAAAATATAGTTTTCCTTCAATTTAAATATGTGTGTATCTACCATTTCGATGAGGATCCATTTGTGGTGGCATCAAAGGTCCACCATTTGGTCCACCCTACATATATGTATAAATACAATAGAATAATGTTTCTTTTCCTATTTTCTTATTTATACCGGATAATCTGGTTGGGAAGGCATACGAATAAGTGAACGAGGTGCATTTGGATAACGTGGATACTAGAAAAGAATTTATTTGTCAAGTAGATGAAAAAAATGTATATTAAATTCTACTTGATTCATCATTTGTTGTCCCGATGGCTACAAAATTAAAATAAAATAAAACATGTAATTTTTGTAATAAATAATTTCTTACTGGAAAAAATGGTACACCTGGATTATGCATTCCTTCGTTGACATTCATTGGCATTGGAGGTGGGCCATTTGGATTTACATTTTGCTAAAATCAATGAAATAATTATTAGAAACTTAAATAGAATATATTTATACTTGAGGAGGAATACCATTAGGAGCATAATTCGAATTAATAAAACCCTAGAAAATAAAAACTCAATAGTGAAAAGAAAAAAATGAGGAAACTTACATAGTCATGAAATGCTTTAGCTTCTTCAGAATGAGGATGTTGCTCTCGACGTTCTGGTGCGGCACTATATAAATCCCAAAATACACTAAAACAAATTCGACAATCTATTAAAAGAATATATGATATAATTAATATCTACTCACCACCACCAACTAAGTAGAAATCCTGGTGGTTCACCGAGTGATAGTTTACTCGGTTCCCATTTCATCTATAGAATCGACAACAAACATGATTTTGAAATCATTTCGAAACAAAAAACTTACATCCGCACAAAATCCCTGAGCAGCTTTTGCTGCACCAATATGATACAAATATTCATAAACATATAAATTTAATCTATATTACGAAATAAATTTAGATAAAGAAAAAGAAACTAATACATATTTTACTTTTCTTTTGCATGAATATCTGATGGTGCATTAATACCTTTATTTTTTCCGTACATAATTGACAGCGAATTAATGTGGCGATAAATGAATAAAGAATAACATTTTATGTTAAATATAGATGAAAGATATTTATATATATATATATGATCTAGAGTATAAATTTTTTTCTTACAATAAATAAATAAAGAGATTTTATTGATTGATTGATTTCTACAGTAGTGAATTCTGTCAAGTTAACACCATTATTCCATTCATATACCTCTATTAGATTTATTTTAAGATTCAAATAAAATATCGAAAAAAAGACAATGAATTAAAATTTTAGAGATTTTTCATATAAAACTAAATTTTATCTTTTTCTTTTGTATATACTTATACATGAATGATCTAGCGTTTTTGTAAAGGTTTAATAAATGAATTTGATTGGTGTATAACTACGACCAATTAAAAATTATTTGAACTATGACTATTAATCAATATACTGTCAAAGTTTATATTTACAAAAAAAGAAAGTCATATTTTTTTCCTGAAATTATTTCATCGATAGAAAAAAGTTGCACGTACAGTTTTAGTGAAGAAATTTTAAATTATATATAATTATGACTTATGAAAATTCTATTAATTTACAAATTTGTCGTTTAAATGATGATTTCTCATAAATATATGTCTCGTCTATAAATGATAACAACACCTGATAACTAGGTAAGGTATACTATACCGTTTAAGGTGAAGTACAGATGAAAAAATATGATAACAATTAATAAGTGTATAATATTAAGTTTCTAGCTACTGGCCATAATATTGATGATATAGTGCTTCTATAATGTCTATTTTATTTCTCTGAAAATAGAAATAAACAACTTGTAGTAACATGAATTTATTTTCATTCCACTAAAAAATGATAAATACCAAAAAAACAACACTTTTGATTCATTATTTAAACCTTGATAATACAATTAATTTACCAATTCACAATATTTCATGCTTTGTAGTCTATATTTATATGTAGAACATTAAATTTTATCTCCGAATCATCATTTTTCGGCAAACGATAACAACCTGTAAAATCTGAATATTAACCTTTCAATTTACATAATATAAATATCTATAAAAAATCATTTAAATAATAACAATACATATTTGTAGTTTTAGATTATTTTATCGATTGTACTTTTTATTCTTTTCAGTACATAATGCTTGTGCCACATCAAATTAATTTAAATTCATCAAAAGATGATATAATGAATAGTATAACGGATGATGAACGTAAAAAATTGAATGAACTTGAATCTGAACGTGGTTTAATTCTTGACAAACCTTGTCGATATACACCATATCATGAACCATCACTTGTTCTTGATGATTTCCTATTTTTGGGAGATATGCAACATGCAGCAAATCAAATATTACTTCAACAATATAAAATTAGTAAGTTATTCAAATCAAAATTAAATTTGTATTGTTGTTTTTTCAGAACATATTTTAAATGTATGTGATTGGGGTACAGACAAAAATATTCAAGATAATTTTAATGTCACTCATATCCCATTATCGGATGATTGTCAAGAAAATATTAAGCAAGTACGTAAATAAATTATGAATGAACTTGAATAAATACATTTTCTATAGCATTTCGATAAAACGAATGAATTATTACATGGATTTTATGAAAAGAACGAATGCTGTCTAGTACATTGTGCTGCTGGTAAAAATAAAAAGATTTACAAGGAAATATCTTCCTTAAATGATTATTATTTGTTCTAGGTATATCACGATCAGCAACAATTGTTCTTGCTTATTTAATGAAATATCATCATAATACATTAAAAGATGCGTATGCTTTTCTTCATGACAAACGTCCACAAATTTCTCCAAATAAAGGATTTTTATTACAATTGATACGTTATGAAAATGAATTGATTCAATCTCGAGAAATAAAACCTGCAGATACAGCTGAATCCATTATAAAAGAAGAGAATCCAATAGAAACATTAGATGAATTTCAAGAAAAACATAAAATGAATAAATAGATAAAAAATATTATTTTATTTCATATTTTTATACAAAAATAAAAATTTTCATTTTAATAATAAATAATTTTTTTAAAAAAAATAAAGAACAATGAAAGACTTGAGTTGTTGAATATTAATTATTATCTTCATCTGCTAAATCGTTGTCATATTCGGTATCTTGATCTAAACGTAATTCAATTAAACTAGTTTCACAAAAAATTGATGCTGATATTGATGATATATCTGATTGTATTAGTTCATCATCATCGTCCAATGGTAATATCGTCGAATATTGTTGGTAACTACCACTATTATTCAGTTGTGAAAATGGGTTGACTTGGATTGCCACATGTGAATTTTGTAAATTATTTTTATCATTATCTATATATTGATACCTTCTGCGTTTTGTAGATGACTGATATTTGAATAAACTAATGGTTTTGAAAGACCCCATACCAATAATAAGAAGTATAACACCTATTAAAGGAATCGAATAAATCGATAGGTCGTTAAGAAACATATTTTGACAAATGAATGACGATGAAATCAATAAATACCAAGAAGAGAGACAGACAAACAGAGAGCAATGAGAAAAAGAACGAACTAAACAAACACGCACTCGTACGAAGAGTATGAGTAACTAACGAATGTTATTTTTGTTATGGTAAGTAAAAAATATCATCACCTTTCATGACGTTCGAAATGTACATTATGTTGATAAACGAATAATTTGCATACATCATCATGATAATGTACTGTTAACGAGATTTTTTTATTCTTGAATTAATTAATGTATTACTGGCAAATTCTTTTTGATTTATCGTTGTTTTATGCATGTCATCAAGATTATGTAGAACTTCTTCTATTTTATTGATATAATTTATTATCTTATTTTCAATATTATCAACATTTTGATTCAGTATAAGATATTCATCATAAGAAAGTTTATTATTAATATCTAAATATTTCAATAATGATAATTTAGTATATTATTCATTTTGAATAAAAAAAACATGACAAAATACATCTGTTTATTTAATTCATTCTATACCAACAAAAAATCGAAATAAAAACTATAGTAACCAAAGTATGATTTGTTTATTTTAAAAACAAAGAACGCAGTGACTATGTTTGCCATTGAGTCGATTACGTAGAATGTAACAGATTTTTTTTGTTTTTAAAATAGAAACATTGAGAATGACAACCAAGTCGTTTTTACTGAAAAGATCAATAATCACCCGGAGAAACATTTCTAACCACATCGAATGGAATACTTTAAGTTTCTTAGTACAAAAAATGTCATTCTTAAGTCTTTGTTATTTTCTTTTTTTTAGTATGAATACATTTTATTTCGTTTTACCTGATTTATTATCATCATGACTATGCAAAAAGGAAAAGATAATATCTATAAATAAATAAATATCATAACGTAATTTATTTTACTTGTCATCAATCTTAATTTGTCCAATATCCAAATCATGCTTCATTTGTTTCTGTTCTTCTTCATCTAGATTTCCATCATTATTTTTATCATATTTATTAATAATTTTTTTAATATCATCATCTGTATACCCTTGAATCTTAAATATACGTATATAGATATTATTCGGTCAAGTTAAGTGTGCTCTAAATTTGGAGTTTACGGATCTCTAAGTTTTCGCGAAAAACTCTACCTGAAAACTGTTTTGATTGCTCTAATAGATACTCTGGACTGTACTGAGTCGACACTGGTGATGCTCAAGAAAAAAAGTACATAGTTACAACCGAAAAACTCGTAAACTCCAAATTTGGAGCTCATTTAACTTGACCATATTATTTCGAAGTTGATATTTAATTTACTTTTAAATTAATTTTATAATCCATTGATTTTTTTCTTGGAATTAAATAATAAAAAATCTTTGGAAAATTTTTTATTTTTAATATTTGTAATGTTTTATCCGATTCTATTCTTGAATATGTTTCATTTATAATTGCTAAAAACATATTCAATAAAACA